CAATCCGCGCAAACATCAAATCCACTATTTGTGGGCTTTCTCTTTGAAATTTTTTTGTATTCATTGTTTTTTTTTCAATTGATCTTAATTTTATTCTTACAATTTTTGATTTAACTGCGCATTTTTATATCGTTTGACACTTGTCATCTTTTTTCAAATCAACCTCAAATGAATTTCAAATGTAAAATTCAAACCTCGTTTTTAATTTGAGAATCATTTGAGATAAACATTTGATATCAAATTGAGAAATACATTTTTCTCAAACGTTTGAAACTGTGTTTGCTGGGTTAAGAATTCCAGACTCAAATTCACAAACACTTTCTCATTTTCAATCTCAAACAACAACAATTGTGAACAATTTCATTTTTTTTTCAATTTTACATTTATACGCCGCAAGAAAATTTTGGAACTCCCTTTTTTTGAAGGCATAGTTCACTCGATTTCAATGAAACATACACCGATTTAAAGAACATAACTTCCTCTAATCCAGAAATGTTAACCCCGTTACATAGGGGGCGCCGCATCTGACATACAGACTAAAATGTGAAAACCGATGTATCTCCAAACCCAATTACGTTGGGGAACTGAAACTTGGCAAGGATGCATAAATAGTAAATACCCTACTTACGGCGAAAAATTGTAGGTATTCGAAAAGAGGGCACGGCACCTCCTAAATAAACTGAAAACCTCATATCGCTAATCTCTATCACCGCTTATGCTAACGTCCTGAAATTTGACACAGCTATTTATGCTATCAATATCGTACTTATGGTGAAAAGTGGTAGATTTTGAAAAAGGGGGCGTAGCACTTCCCAAACAAACTGAAATTCTCATACCGCTTATATCTGGAACCACTTATGATAGGGCAATGGAATTTGATACACCTATTACATCTATACACATATAAAATTGCAAGATGTTGGCAATTCAGTTTTTAGCCTTTCAAGTGTCGCTCAGACCAGTATAATCGAAAAACGTATTTACAGTCTGAATTATTATGTATATCTTTAACATATTGGTCAGTGAGGAACCGTTGGGCATCTAATCTATACATACAAATACATATGTTTGTATATTTTTCATAAATGAAAATTGGGGTGCCTGTCGCGGTCTTATTTCGAAAGCTTTTAAAAAAATTTGATTTCAAGTTTTCCTGTAAATTCGCTATAAATTTGGCTAAGTCTACCAGCCAAAATTGTCATTGGCATAAAGGAGTCAATATTTTTGGCAAGCGAAGTTCAAAAGCGTATGTAGAAAATGTCGAATTTCGACAACTAGGCGATAGTAGTGATTTTGAAATGCTTGCAAACGTCAGAAATAGAAAATCATGGCCGACGAATTGAGAGAATGAATTTACCTTGTAATGTTTTTACCATGATTTAAATCTCTACCATGGGAAAACCAAAAATAACTCTGAAAAAATAATTTTCCTTTTTTCGTCAGTCGATTTAGAACTGACACTTCGTAACACAAAAAATTCGCCAGTTGCTAGCATGCAAAAGAGAATTAACGCGCACTAGTCATGATTCCGAATTACCTAGTACCAAACCAGTACGGAACTAGTGCGTTTGTACATATGTATGTATGTAGATACATACATCCATATGTAAACAAGCCTTCAAATGCAGTCAAATGCGCGTTAACGCCTTATCGCCTCGCAATGCCATGCCCAAAATATATTAATAACAAAACTTGTTATCTCTGTTATAACCTAAATTAACAGAAATACACCTACACAAGAAATATTTTAGTAAAAGTTGAAAAAAATGTTTTTTTTTTAATTTTTCGGGTATAGATTTTTATAGCCTGTTAATTTTGAGTATTACCAAGTGCAAGTTTTAAGCTGCTGAAAAAATCGCGTTGATTTTTAATATTTTTTTTTTTGCTGACGGCTAATTTTTTTATTTTGCTGGCGGTGTATTTTTGCCGCTGACATCCCTAGATCAGGGTAATTGAGCGGGTTGGAAAATTAATTGAAATTAAATTCAGTCATACAAAATTTGTTATTGAAAGTTATTAAGTCACCAAAATTTTTCGAATAGCCGAAGTTTATAGATATCGAAATTTATCGAGTTATAAATTTTTATTGAGTTATCGCGGCGTATTGAATTATTTAAATTGATCAAGCTGAAATTAGTCAAGAACGTAAACCTACCGGTACGTAAACCCGAGTCAGCTGACACGATCTGTCTTACCAGAGCGCAATGTAAATGAAAACTCAACACAGCAGAATTTTTCTGTAGTTGTTGCCCGTAGCGCAGAAGTCTGCGGAATTTAGATTTTCCCGTGTCAGCTGATTTCTTTCTTTTATAGATGGTTGCCACTTCGTCAGTTTTGCAGATGGTAAACAAGTTATAACTTCCTATTCAAAATACGTTTAAAATGTTTGCAATTTACCATTGAATAAGGTTTTTTGTTGAAAACTAAGTAGATTATATTTAGTTACGATGTATTGTAGCACGAAAAATTGTATTTGAAAATGTAAGTTTATGAAAAGGCATTGATGAGTGGCAACACTGTAGTAAGCAACACTGAGGGCTCCAGTAATCGACAAAATTCTGCGTATACAGACTGCGTTTAAGTATACGTTCTGCGTTCTTGACTAATGTCAACTTCAATGTTTATTGAGTTGCCAAAACTTACGGATAGTTATCGAGCTATACAAATTTATGTGAGTACGGAAAATTTTCAAGTTAAAGAAGTTTATCAAGATATCGATATTTACTGAATTAATATTTTTTATAGAGTTAATGAAATTTTAAAGTTATCGTAATGCATCGAGAAAATTTATATTTATTGGTTTACCGATATTTGTCGATTCATCGTATCGAAGTTTTGTAAAGTTTTCAAAATATATCGAGTTACGGAAATTTCAAGGTTATATAAGTTTGTCGATTTATCGCTGCTAATCGAATTTTAGCGTGTTACTAGAGTGTAACGAGTTATCGAAATTCGTCGATAGCTTTCAAAAAATACGGATCTATCAAAACTAACAGAGTTAGCGAAATTTATAGAGTTATTAAAAGTTTATTGAGTTATCGATCTATATAAATTTTTGAGTTATCGAAATACAGCGAGTTCTCGGAAAGCACAGTTATCGAAAATTTTCGAAATTAGTCGAGTTATCGAATTTTATTGATTTATCGAATTTTAGTCTTTTTGAAATTCGTCGAATTATCGACATGTATCAAATGATCGAAATTGAGTGACAAACTGGAATGTATTGGGCCAATTCCAAGACCTGCCAAAGACCTGCCACCACGTAAGGGCGCACTACAATAAATACGCCAACGAAGCCTCTCGATTGTGACCTCTTCAAACATTGACGACCATCGCAACGGAATAAGTGCTACTGTTGTACTGGATCACTTATATAGCTCATAATAAATATTAACCAGAAGAGTAGTTTCTCAATCCACCAAAATTTTTAAGGCGCCACTTGCGAAAATTCTTTACTACAAGACACTATAGATTACCCCACAACCACATACCTTTCCCATGCAACGGAAATTCTGTTACGTATACGCCATGGCTGGACGGCGATATGGGCATTTATGTATTGCAATTTATTGCACACTTTATGTGCATTGCGATCGCTATATTTGAACACATACACATGCACATACATATACACTTGTGGTCAGCTATGTAAACCAGCAAGGTTTTAATAAATTTTGGCATTTTTTTTTGTTTATTTAATGTTTATTATTTCTTCATAAAAGTCTAGCTCAGTATATAACAAACATCATATAAATCGACAATTCGAACTTTGTGTAAGAATTATAAAAAATCTGCAAGTTTGACGTTGTTGAAAAATCGCGTTGATTTTGGGCAGTTTTTTCCACGCATTTTTTTTTTTCAATCAAAGTACGTTGGAGAATTTTTTTTTTGGATGGAAAAACCTGCTTAATACTCTCAGAAAAAAATTATTAAAAATCAACGCGATTTTTTAGCAACTTAGAACTTCTGAAAAATCTGAATAAAAGGTTGAAAATTTATATGAAGCTTTGCAGATTTTTTTTAATTTTTGCACAAATTTTGAAATGACGATTTTTATGGTGTTTGTTATATAATGAGCTAGACCTTTATGAACAAATAATAAACATTAAATAAACAAACGAAAAATGAAAAAAAAAATTATAAAAACGTTGCTGGATTAATTTGCTGATCGCAAGTGTACTTAACTAAAGTGCTACTCGCGAGTATAATGCAAGCAAACATAAATATGTATTAAAGTAAAAAACGTACAATGAATTGCCATTTATTTTTTTTTTTTAACTGCATTGCTTCATTCAAACCATAATCGTATAGCACCAACTAGGCCTACCAGTTTCCGAACTTAGCGCTCGCGAGCCGTTTGCTGTGCATCAACGGTAAAATGACATAAACAGCGGCAAGTGCAGAGCGCATAATGGCAATCAGTGCCACTTCCACTTAGCTCACTGAGCGCACGCTCTACGGGTTCTGTGTCCACTCAACTGCTGATAGAGAAGTGGGTGCACTCTCGCGCACAAACGAGACAATGAATGGACAAGAATGTTCCTTAACAGTCAACAAGCGAGCCAGTCAACGAAACAAAAAAAAAACCATGCTCAAAGCATTGGAGGAAAAGTCAGTCACTTGCAGGCGTTTGAGCGGAACACTACGTGGAACGGAGATAAAAGAAGAGTTGTGTTTTTGCTTTTCGTTTATAGGCGCATGCATTTGTATATAAATAAGAACATATGGTTAAAAGATTTATATGCTGTTTGCACAATTGAAAAAGTCAACACCGCTAATAGTTACTTGAGAGCAATTTGAACGTTTTCGCGCAAAGTGGCTTGAAGTTAATTGAACTGCAATGAACTGATCATTGGAAATAATTGAAAATAGAACATTATTCGAACATACATGTGTATAAACAATTTAAATCAAGTGACAATAATAAATAAATAATATTGAAATTTTATTGACAAACATTTAAAATAAATCAACTAAAAACTGCCTACCTAGTAGAGGTAGAGGAACTACTAAATTTTGTGCAGAGCAAATCATTCAATAAACAACAAAAATGCTGGACACTATCGTCTACATACCCACCATATTGGCGTACGCTTTCATTTCGCTGCTCGTCATTATCCTTTGTTTCATCGTAGTCTACATCAGCCATAGAATTTATGTATGCCTCTACGATAATCTGCCCGTGGCGCATGCGGCGCTCTCAACCATAATGAGTGTGGATTCCAAGGACAATGCGCCGACCAGAACTCATAGCAGCATTTTGTTGCGCTCAACGTCTGGTATAAATGAACGCAAGACGAAAACAGGTTAAATTTACTAGTTTGAATAGAGCTGCAGCGATCCATTGTTGTGCTTCAGGTTGTATGGCCAGAGGCTGCAGCAGCCTTCAGTGTTCGGCGTACGTGTCTAGCTAGCATACGTATAATTTGTGATATGATTTTGAGTTGATGAAGGTTGTTGCTTGGCTGATGGTGGACTTCGGCATAAAATTGTTAATGCTTAAATATTTTGTACATTTCGATTTTCAAATTTTAAACATATTACTATTTTCCATGCTGTTTGAATTTGCGCAATGGTTTGTGTGCTCATTCCACACCCACAATCGACGACATTTCGTTTCAACGCGATCACAATCAATATCCGTCCCCGCCAACTGCTATCACCCATGCAGCGCTGCGTATCATTGTCACACTGGCCCCAACTTACCTAGCCTATGTGGCCTTAGAACTCGAAAAGTGTGGCAAGAAGAGCAACATGAATAAGGAGCAATATAAATTAATTAAGTATTATGATCGTCTATCACAAATACCAATGATAAATCCTTTATCGAGCTGTACCAGCGAACATGAATTGTATGCTACCAGTGGACGCAAGATGAAGCAGAGGCCGCCGCAGATGTCGCGAAATACAATTGATTGCGAGTCAAATGTTTTGGTTAAATCCGCAAATGCTTCCACAAAATCTGTTGCCACTTCGACCACAAAATTAACATCGTTTAATGTAGAGAGTTTTAACGTCAAGCAAGAACCATCTGTGATTCGGCCATCGGGTTCTGTGGTGCGTCCATCGGGTTCTGCGGTGCGTCCATCGGTCACCTTTGCAAATGCGATGAATGCGCTTGGAAATATCAAATTAGCTACACCAGCCGAGGATTCGCAGTGATCTATGTACATATCGTCACCTGAAATTCAAACAGACGCAACAAACATCATCGCTGAAGTGCAAAAAGTCATAACTAATAAAAAATTCAAAATTCACTTTTTGATTTATATAATGGATTTCATCGAATTACTCCCATAAAATTTTATTAAAAAAAAAAAATATTAGTCATGACTTTTTCCATTTCAGTTGCGATGTTGTTACGTCTTTTTACATTACAGGTGACGATATATATATACATATATGCATATTAGTTATGTACTAACTTATAGGCAACTACTCTATATACTTGCATGCATATACATTAGGGTAATCCATAAATAGTTGTGAAAAAGTAAAGTCGGAATTTTAATACTCTCACCCCCTAGGATTGTTTTATACCGAAAAAAAATAATACTAACTATATTTTATAGGTCCGCCAAAAATGCCTGAAAATGCAATGGAGAAATTTTCAAAAATCATTAGTAATAAAAAATGGTTAAATAAACAATTCGGTAATATTATTGGAGGCCTCTTGAAGTGAACCATAGTTATCCGATCGTAAAATATTCATTTTCAAGAATTCTATGCCATTTCTAAGAAAAGTGATTTTTTCCCCTTAAAAAATTACATGGAAAACTTTGTGTGCTTTGAGCGACCTCTAATTATTTTTTGATTTCGAAATCAAAAAATGGGGTTTATTTTTTTTCGGTACAGATTAATCCTTGGAGGAGCATTAAAATTCCGGCTTTACTTTTTTGGACAACCCTGCACATGCTCACCAAAAAAAAGTAGCGTTTTTTCCACCGGAATTAATAAATTTCTTATATTTATTTTAAGACTTTCGATAAAATATCCCGAAAAATATTAGACCGATTTAAATTTTTTTTGATACTGTTGATTAAATTTTTAAACATTTTTTTCAGAGACGGCAACAGTTATATTTGTAATAAAAATCATAATTTAACCGCTAAAATTGAATTAGAAATTTTCTGACCAAATTTTTATTTTTCGAAAATTTTTTGGATTTTCATTTTCAGATTTAATTTTTTAGATCATAAATGATTTGAATCGGTCATAAAACGCAGCGTTACCTTAATTCACGAAAACTTTCATCAACAAATTTTTTATTTTACTGGAAAAGCAAAAAACATTATTAAAAAAATCACCAAAGCAGGTAGGGATTTTTAAAAAGTGGCATGTAACTCAGTTGTTTTTGGTTCTAGCGCTTTAAAATTTTGATTAAAATTGTATTTTAATATATCCTACCAAAATCTGTGAAAAACGCAATTTCGTAAAAAATTCCTTTGTGAATTAAGGTAATGCGCAGTCTCCATAACGATTATTTTGGATCGAAAAAAAATATGCTCACAAAATAACGAATAAATTCCGCCGAAAAAATCCAAATTTTACAATTATTCTTGATCAGAAAAATTCAAAATCACAGAGTAACGATTAAATTAGACCGAAGAAAATAAGGATTTTGAAAACATAAAAATAAAAATCTTGATATTTAACGGTTATTTTTGGCCCCTGATTTTTATGCACATCTTTTAAGCTTAAACTCCTCTATAACCTTAGGTGATTTTTGGAAATACTATTAAAAAAAAATTTTACTATAAAAAAACTCGAATTTTGGAGTATTTTGAAGTAGGTCCAGCTCACGTAAATCTTAATATCTCTCTGAAATATTTTAGTGAATGTCTTAAAATGTAATAGGTTTTATAATTCCGAAGGAAAACTGTACCGATTATTTTTTTTTTGTATGGGCAGTGATGCATACTAATGTACATACATGCATACAGACATACAAATGAAGACACCTAATAGGTTAATTATGGAATTATGCAGTTGAAAAACTTGTTTCTATTATTTCTAAAGACAGGTATTTAGTTAAGCAGTGTGTTTGCTTGTAGCTACATTGTTTTAAAATAAATACATACATATTTGTATATACATGCATACATATGTGTATACCTATACCTCTATACATACATACATATTTTTGAAATAGTTTAATTTTATAAAATGCTCTGCTTAGACTTTACACTGAATACCTGCATACAAATATGCACTTCGAAGCGTGAAGAAAAAAAAATAATAAAAATAAAGAAAATAATGCAGGTTGGAGCAAATACACAATAAGCATTTAACAACTTAACAAACAAAAAAAAAGAAAATGTTAATTTGTAAATGCGTCGAACCGAAAATGACTATACTTAAATTTCATGGAGAACATTTTGCAGTTATCAGTGCAAAAGTGCACCAAAAAGTATTTTTTGAAATACCTTTTTTTTATATTCCATTAATTTACATTTAGATACACCCCCTCAAAGCCAAATTCAAAGAAAACATAAGTTTTACTTATACTTTTAGTGTATACTTTAAAATCATTTTCTCTTTGTTAATTGTTGACGTTTTTTTTGCATCATTTATAACATTGCTAATTTGCCATTTAGCGCCTTTTGCCTTGCTGGCGATGGTATAAATAAATATAGATACATATGTATGTAAATAGATAACACATGATATGTTTAAAAATAAAACCTCGAAAAAATTCACTGAACTCATTAAGCCTACCGGCGCAGCCGTTGCACTTCGCGGAAGTATTGTAAATAAAATAAAAAAGTTTATTAAAAATTCAATTATACCGTTAAGCAGTGCCTAGGTAATTATTAAATACGACCTTTGCATAGTCTTTTCATGGTACAGTAAGACCTCGCTAATCGTGGCTAATAATTACACTCCGCTATCTGGGTTAAATATTTTTAATAATAGATTAAATTGAGTGAAAATTTTGAATTTGAAGCTTTTGGTACTCCGCTTTTTTAAAAGTTAGTATTAACTAATTCATGCTATTTTGCTAGAGTCCATCTACAAAATACCGTGATAAAGGCCCATTGTATTTTGGAAGAAAAAAATACCCGAAGTAAATGCAAAAACGAACAAATTTGAAAGCGTAGTAAAAAACCATGTTTTCGGAGCAGTGTTCGGACTGTAAAACCATTTTTAGTAGTAGATAATCTGAAAAAATTTGGTAGATTTTAAAATAATGTAGTAGATTTACATACATATATATTTACATATATGCATGTATGCAGAAAAATTTCTTTTTATTTATTCTGTGGATATTTTTGATGTTGTTCGTATGTGAATTGAATATTTACGAAAACAACATACGAAAAATCAAGTAGATGCACCAGACAATTAAATTTGTAAATTATGTTAAATCTATTCTGTGTATTTACTTGAGAATCTAGACATCTTAAATCTCAAACGCTTTTTAAAAAAATTACAATTCAAAACATTTTCCACATTTTTATTTAATTTTATTAAATAAGGTTTTGCTTTCGTTCATTTGCCTTCGTTTGTATAATGTGCTTGATTTTAAGCTTACTGTAGTAGATATGTGGAAATCAGATTTGAAAAAAAATGTGGTAGATCTAACACAATTGTAGTATAGTTCGAACACGGTTAGTGAGCCACAATCAATTCGTAGTTATGCTTCGAAAACTTTAGTACAAATGACTGGATATTAAAATTATTAAATATGCGGTGTAGCGAAGTCTTACTGTATTTGCAAATGACAAATCTGTTGGTGGTCAAAAATATTTTATAGTTCAAAATATCGTTTGTATTTTAGTATGGTTTTAATATGTTTCTGGCAATATAATAACACATGGAGCCCAAAATCGTCAAAAATACATAAGCGAAATTTTTTTCAAAATTTTATATTTGATGCAGAATTGTTCCTAGAGTATCTAGACCCATTTCTGCATCAAAAATAAAACTTTGAACAAAGAATGTCGCCGGTTAGGGCTCGATATGTATGTACATATGTATAAAGGAAGAAATAGAAATAAAACAGAAAAATTAAGAATAAAAAAAATTAACGCTTTAAGGCCGAGTCAGACGATTGCCCAATGGATAAAATGTTTGCCTTTGGTTCCATCATGATTTCTATGTGCAGTACCAATTTATGACTGCTAAAAAAAAATTACTGCGTAAATTTTTATATTTTCTACAAATAAATATAGATACCAATCGTCTGATCTGGTCAAAAATTCAAATATTCTAAACATTAATTTTTCAATATAATATTTTTAGAATTTTCTAGTCACCCATAAAAACAGATGTAAATACATACATACGTACTTGCAAACGATACTATATTTACACATAAGAATTAAAAATATATATCTATATTTAAGTTTACTTAAACTAATTATTGTTAATAATTTACCAAAATATAATAAAAATATATATTAAAAAAAAATTAATGCTAAATTCGCGTAAACCACAATTTTTAATTTTCTGCTACTTAAAAGACACTACGAATTCTTGTCGGTTTGGACCTAGACTAAAAGAAAAAAAAATGCCAATCGCTCGCACCATGTGTAGTCAGATGCTTCTGAACTTGGTCCTTGCATTGCGCCCTTTCGTTCATTGGCCACACTTAGGTGCCCGAGTCAAAAGGTCTTTTCACCAGAGCGACATCATCCATACGTACAACATGCCAAAGCCAGCGCATCGTATTTCGTCATTCCATCTTCATCGTTCTCCCGAGAATAGATAAATTTTGCGCAGAATAGTTCTTTCAGACCCCAGAACCTTATCATCTTTATCGACCATTTAGAGCGTGATTTTTCTTCATCGAGAGTGAACCCTGCTTTCTTATTGCCGAGCCCTTGGGATCACCTGTTGACAAGAAATATACTTTGTTTGATCTCTAGGCTGACATCAAATGGTCAAATGGTCGTGTTAATGCTGGATCCGATAGAGACAAAGTCCACCCAGACAGAACGAAATGAAAATGGCAAAACGCCGACCAAACCAAACTTGGCAAGGGATGACGGAAATTCGTCCCAAAATAAATCATCCTACCACCCTGTAGGAATAATCAACCACCACCAATATGGAGACATTGCAATACTTCAAAATTTTGTCAGGAGGTATTTGACATAATTCTTCGTTCACCGCTTGATCAACCTCTTTTGCCTACTTCTCTAACCTAAGAAATGCTGTTCTCATATCCCTGTTGTTGATATA